CGTCATTGTACATGCGTGCATGGCGGGGTGGGTATCCACATTGATCAGCAACGGCCGGTGCATGTCGTTCTCGGTGAAATGAAGTTGCGCAAGAGTACGAGGATGAGGTGAAGAGCTGGTGAGACCATCACGGTATTCAGATGGTTATTCAAAAGGGAGACATAGTTGACTGCAAAATAGTCCAGTCCGATTCTCATTGCGGCACTTCTTCGCCTCCACGCGCGAAGCACTCAACTTCGAGTTCACAACCTACGTCAACGCAATATCGAGCCCGGTGGCTTCTCCAAGAAGCTACTAGCCGATTGGAGGCAGTACGGTGCTATGCCTGCAGACGACATCATCATGGAGCAGGGGTAGCTCCAAAAAAAAGGGTTGTTTACCTAACAGCAGTTTACCTAACGTGAGCTGGTCAAGCAAGTCACTGATAGAGTTGCGCTCGATATCTTCAGCTATTTACTGCGAGCTCTCCGCGGTCCCCAGATCTGTTCATCCATCTCTTCTCCTCTAGTTTCGCTCCATCGTTATCCTGAGACTCCAGCAAGATGAGGTTCACTCCCGCGCTTTTGAGCTTCGCGGCTACGGTAGCTGCGCACGGCGATCACGGTCACGACCAAGACCCTTTGAATGGTCCTCACGAGGGACTGTGGTACAACACACTTCCTGGTGATGGCGGCAAACAAGTACGCATCGACAGCTCGAAACGACGCCGTACAACACTAACTTACGTGACTGCAGGCCGATTCCATCTTCTCCGGCATATCCACATTCGGCCGCCTTCCATACCACCCATGTCTCTCCAGCAACACGCAGTTCGACATTGCGTTCATTGGTGCGCCCTTTGACACTGGCACATCCTACCGCCCAGGCGCTCGCTTCGGGCCCAGCGGTATCAGACAAGGTTCCCGCCGCCTCAATCTCTAGTATGTTTCCTTAAAAGCAGTCGCATGCTTACTTTTATTGTGTCGTGATCCAAAGGCTCACGCAGAATTGGATTTAGTGGTGGCTACAACGTTCCACTCGCGGCGAACCCGTTCAACTCGTGGGCTAAAGTTGTGGACTGCGGTGACATTCCCGTTACTTCGTAAGTTACTTTACGTCCTTACGTGCTTGAGAAGCTTGTGTTAGGATGTGCTAACTCGTTTGCTCGTGTAGATACGACAACGCGTACGCGCTGCAGCAGATCGAGGAAGGCCACAACCTGCTGTTGAGCCGCCCACCACACACACATGCCAACAAGCCCGGTCCCTCAAAGACAGGCAAGACACTCCCTCGTCTGATCACTCTGGGAGGCGACCACACCATCACACTCCCTCTTCTCCGTTCCATCAACCGGGAATATGGCCCCATTACCGTCATCCACTTTGACAGCCATCTGTAAGCCCCACTCCTTCTTCATCACCTCCCTATCCTATATCCGCTAACACCCACCAGCGACACCTGGCGCCCCAAGGTCTTCGGCGGCGCACCCTCCGAACAAGCCAGCATAAACCACGGCACCTACTTCTTCCACGCCGCCCAAGAAGGCCTCCTCGCAAACGACACCAACATCCACGCCGGCATCCGCACGACCCTGTCCGGCCCCTCTGACTACGAAAACGACGGCTACTGCGGCTTTGAAATCGTCGAAGCACGTGAAGTCGACAAGATCGGCACCGATGGCATCATCAAGAAGATCCGCGAGAGGGTTGGTCTGGAGAAGCCTGTGTATCTGAGTATCGATATCGATACGCTGGATCCTGCTTGTACGTTACTAAATCTTTGGGAGAGTTGAGTTATAGATTGGATGGCATAGCTAACGTGTATGAACGCACAGTCGCACCCGCAACCGGCACCCCCGAAACCGGCGGCTGGACCACACGCGAACTCCGCACCATTATCCGCGGTCTCGAAGGCATCAACCTCATCGCCGCCGATATTGTTGAGGTAGCACCCGCTTACGACACCAACGCCGAATTAACCACTATGGCTGCTGCTGTGCGTTTCTATTTCCTTACTCTCCTTGGCTCGATTATGTATATGCTGGTTTGGGGCTTTCGCTGACGGGATACATTCTAGGATACGCTGTATGAAGTTATGACGTTGATGGTCAAGAAGGGACCGTTGAGCTATATGGGGGCTCCCAAGGAGATCATGGAGTTGTAGATGATTCGATGGTCTTTTGATGACCTGAGGTGGTGTTGGGCCGGGAGTTGTGGGGATGGTGAAGCACGGGCGATATCGGGCGTTGAGCGAGCTCGGGTTCATGCAAGACGAAGAGATGATTGTACCTGCATGGGTCATGTACATGATGGTGATGATAACGATGACGACGAATGATAGTCTCTTACGGCATACTGCACGGTTTTTGTTCCAATGAACTGCGCAATCATCCTAAGCACGTTGCCATGCATGAGTCAAGTGTTAGGTCAAGTCTTGAAGGTACCAAGTTGCGACTGGTAAGAGTTGATTTCCTAATACTACAACGCAACGGCTACTACTACTACTACTACTACTACTACTACTACTACTACTACTACTACTACTACTACTACTACTACACATCGTCTCTCGTTTCTCATGACATCATCACCACCACATGCTCGCACCGTGAGCCGCCTTTCACTACCATTACAAATTAAGCAAGGAAACTTAAGCCTTAAGACCAATCTCAACAGCAGCGAGAATGAACTCCATGAAACCAGCATTGGTGTCAATGATGTTTTGGATATACTCCTCGCTCGTGGGATAGAAGTTAGTCGGGTAACCAAACTCCATGGTGTATCCGTAGACCTTGGTGAGCTTCTTGTTACCCTGCCATCGGCTGAAAGACCAGTCGTCAGTCGCGCCAGAAGTAGGGTAAAGGCCAACAGCTTGTTGAGGGATGTATTCGCGGCCTCCAACGGAAATCATGGCATCGGTGGTGCGGTTGGCTGCGATGCGGATGTTGTCCCAGTCCTCTTGGTCAATGTACTCCTTGTACAGGTCGTCCTCGACGATACCACGCTTGCCGTCGTAAGCAGGGTTGAACAGGTTCTGCTTGGGGTCGTGGGATTGGTCGACGTCGTCTCCCCATGAGTAGAGCAGAGTTCCGGCAGCAGAGTGGACGTCAATGTACCAGTGGATGTTGGGGTACTCGTCGTACACCCAAGCCATGTCTCTCGACTCAGGCTCGGAGAATGGTGCGGTACCGTAAAAGGCCTGGGAAGCTGGGTTTGTTGAAGCTGGGGAGACTGAAGGGTCAAACTTCTCGGTGAAGTTCCAGAGGAAGTCGAAGTTCCTGTTCAAATCTACACCAACACTGAGGGGTTCGTTGGGCCTAGCAGAGGCTGGGTTGCGGTTCTTTCGCCATAGGTTGCTGTTGGCTTGGTCGTGGCGCACACCATCTGGGTTCAGCATGGGAATGAAGACAACTCCCGCACCAAGAGCCTTCTTGACTTGGCTGTTGGTGTACTTCTTGTTGCCGTAGGTGAGACCGATGCGGTGCTCGTTGGCATAAAGAAGGTCAGAGACGAAGTAGATCAGGTTGTCAGGTCCTCCGCGCTCACGTGCGTGAATGCCTATTCGAGTCAGTTTGATACATGCAGTATCTTCATTGATCAATGCATACCTGAAGTGAAGTAAATGTACTGCTTGTCCTTCTTGATCTTCTCTGCCTTGTTGGCAACACCACCGATGATGTTCGCACCCTCGTAGGTCTTGTGTGGCGTGGTGAAAATGGACATGCCGTACTCTTTCTCCAGACCCTTCATGGCGGTGTAGACTTCGTCGGCATTGAAGACACCGGCGCTCTGAAGCTGAGCGTACTCGCTGGGCTTCCTAGTACCGAGACCCCGGGGCGCGACCTTTCCGCCCTTGAAGCGGTCGCCCTTGCCAATGGGTGCAGTCACAGTCTGTCGCTTGTTCATGTTGTGCAAAAGCTCAACGCGTACGAGCTCGGGGTCCAGGCTTCGCTTGAAGTGGTCCAAATGGTCCTCTGAGATGACGGCGTGCAGCTTGTGCTCGCCACCCGCAGCCATAACAACAGGGCGGCAGCCATAGTCGATCTCGCTGTTGGCCGAGATGAAGTCGTAGAGCTGGTTCTTCTCCTTCGCGTAGAATGCGACGCTCAAGACATCGGATGCGAGAACAGCGCCGGGAAGCAGACCGAGGAGTGTGGAGACCTTCATGGCAGACAGCGATAATAATAATGCTGCGACGAGTAGAAATTGAGAGTCGTGCAGACACAGACTGTCGCCATCCTGTTCTTATTTATTCAAGGTCGATGGCTTGGTACTATGTGTCGCGAGCCTCTTAGAGAAGAGCATTGCTGCCAGCTTCCTCATCCGGTAATGGGGAGGCGGTTCTCCAAGACTCCAAGACAGCAAGCGTACTTGGCTGGCGTACCTGCCCTACGATTCTAAGCAGGTCCGAACTGTTATCTTCTGCTATGGCCACACGAAATGTACTCTAACCCGGATGATGGCGCTGGTGGTGGGCCAACGAATGCGAAAATGCTCTAAAGGATCCAGACTCCTGGTCCATGGTGTCGAAGGCGTTGCCAAGACTGTTGAATGTGGGTTAGCAAGGCACCGGCGGTTGTTGCTACAGGATCGTGAGTGAGTTGCAGATAAGCATCGCTCCGAGGCTGTCAGAATCAAGCACTGGGTTCCCCACAGCCGAGTAGATGTATAGTATGTCTGGGGTGAGACCTGGAAGAAGAACTGGAGAATGCGCAGGGCTGCAACTGATGCACGCTAGGATGGCGCGAAGAATGATATCTATGTTGTCGCATAGCGATGTCCCTGCAAGCCGAGCGAGGATGTCTGTAGCATGTTGGCGATTACGAGTTGAGATGTGCGATGGATGAGGAGTTCGAGTGATGATTGTCTCCAGGACGCGTTCGCGCTCGTTGCCAAGACACTGTGCAGCTAACGCCTATCTCCGCGCCCAGATGTGTTCGTCATCTCCTTCATCGACTGGCAAAAGCAAACATGGAACCGCCTTGATATCCGATTGCGCCTGCGAGGCCACCAGAACTCGCGATGGATTACAGCCCTCTAACTCCAGAGGTCAACGTTCTGCTGTTGGGCGATTCGGAAGTCGGGAAGTCGACGTTCTTATCGTGAGTTCGGCGCGCGCGGTTCGCGTGACAGTTGATGTCGATTGACGTCTTGCTACCATTACTGACGTGTTCGCAGTCGCCTGTCACTCGGTGTACAGCCTCAGGGCGACGACCTCCCACCGTATGAACTCCCCAAGCTACGCGATATCGACCAGCCCTACGCCTTCGACATCTCGCTCTACGGGCGTCCATACAGGCTGCAGTTTTATGACACTGCGTCGCCCCAGAACTACACTCTCCTGCACCCGCAATTCGTGATCCTCTGCTACGACATCTCCTCGCGCGCATCCCTCGATTCTCTTGCATCGACATGGCTGCCGATCGTAAATAAGCACTTCAACTACGACGAGAACCTGCCTGTGATGGTCCTAGGGTTGAAGCGAGACCTGAGGAAACAATGGACGTTAGCCGAGCATGGCCCGGATAAGAAGGGCAAGGGGCCGAGTGTCATGCCACACGAGGGTCTGCAGGCGGCGCAGAGGATGCTGTGCGATCACTATGCTGAGTGCAGCGCGCTGACAGGGGAGCTGTGCAGGCAGGTACTGGAAGACGTTGCAAAGACGAGCGCAAAGACAACGACTGAGAAGGGCGCCAAAAGTCAAGGGGCTGATATGTGTACTATGATGTAGTTTGTAAATATGTCGAGAGTATGATTGAATACAAGCGCATCGAACAGTACACATGAACAGGGACATTCATTAGAGCATCACAGTATTCCCTCCCCTGCAAGGCGTGCCAGATCCTGTTAATAGCAAAAACAATGCATTTGGCTCGAATGAAACGGCAAAAAAATTGGTTCATGCGACACCTGTGTGATTCGAACACACGCTCCCGAAGGAACTGGCTAACTTTCCTGTGAAGGACTAGCAGGCCAGCGCGTTAACCACTCCCTAGAATTTGGATTAGTAAGCGTTGAGTAGGCAGACTGGATCAAACGTACGCCAAAGTGCCTTCAATTTGCTGTTTTGCTGATTGATGAAGGATTGAGTAATCTGAGCGTATATGTGAGAGGGTGATGAGGCCAGCTTGGGCATGGCTGAGCGGGGAAGCGGGGTTCAGGTGGGGGCCGACAGCACAACTAGGGAGAGACGCATTCGACGGCACGCCCAGTCTACATGCAGCGACTGCTTTAAGCGCTTTGCACACTCATGGACATAGAGATGTGTTAGATGAGAGCATGAAAGACGGGTGAAAATTTATCGACTCTCATCCCTCAGAAGCGCACTAGTCCTCTAAGGGTTAAGAGCAATTCAGAAAACTAAAGTATTGGCCTTCGCAGAATCCAACTAAAGACCAACAGCGCATTGCAGCTTCACAAGTGCTTCACCGATGAACCGGTAGTAGAAGCCTTTGTATTGAATACGTTGAATCTCCGTTTGAAGAAAGCGGCTTCGTTCAGACACAAGTCGGGTCAACCTTGGAAATGTCTGAAAGAACCAGGTAACCATACGGTCGACACTCAACCATTAACTCTATTTTGACCATGCCAACGTCGCTCTCATCCAGCTATGCGCTGTTTCAAATCGCGATGTGACGACTGCTGCATCATTTGAGCTGTGACGACACTTCACCAGCCTCTGGCTCGCTTACATGCGCGCCAATCACACGCCATCCGTCCCTGCGTCCTGCTGGCTCAGGCTCCGCCTCATCATCACAACTCAACAACTCCTCGACGCTTGTCGTGCCCTTGTTCTCGTCGCTACGAATGTATACACGTCAAATCCATCGGCGACGTGGCACCAGTCCAGCTGTCCAGGTCCGACTCGCCAAGTTGCCTTGTGAATACATCATGGGGCGGGCGCCCAAGTGCTGAGGCAGGCACTCTTCGTTCGCATTTCCGCTCATCTAGTTTCGTAGCCCTGGCTGCCTGAAAATGCCAAAAGACAGACCTCAGGCTCACACTCAGCCAACGAAGGCAACAGATTCGACGACTGAAACCACTTCGGGGGCATCCTACGAAACTCTCAACCAAGAACCAAGAGCAGACGATGTCTTCCTTACGCGCAGTATCCCCGGAAACGCCAGATCTAGGTTTTCACGTTGGAAGAAGGGCGTCACATGGTAACAAGACTGCAAACTGGAGCATATCATGAAGGAACAGACATTCTTTTCTGCATTAAAGCGAAATGCATCTCACGTATTGTCAACAGCGACGTGGTAGCCAATTTATCCTCCCCACAAAACCGAAACGCCAACTCGAAGCCTCGAGACATCATAATGGTCCGTATACCATAACTCATCAGTCGGTCCGCCCAGGGATAAATGCACGCTAAAGAATACTTGACGAGAAAGAGGTGAACGTATTAAACGGAAATTTGGGTATAGGGCGCATGCTCTTCGAACTCCTAGACCATGGCACGAAGTGAAATCAAGGTTGTCTCTTGCGCCGCGATCATGTACTTCGTCTTATGCGTTGGTTTATTGGGATAGGTGCGTTTACGAAGACGTGGGATTCGTCGGCGATGCGAGACTGCTTCTCCTCGTATTCCAAGGAAGACATCTTTAGGTCATCGATTTGTGCCTATCAAGTCAGCCTTCATACACAAAGTAAGGATATGCTTGAGCTACCTTGGTCAGCGGTGGTCCGATGGTGGTTATCAGAAATCCGTCGCGTCCCTGTCGACACCATTAGCGTTCTGCTATACTCAACAACCACCATTGCAAAGTACCTGGAAGGTGTAGGGCCGAACAATCGCATCCGGGCCGCAATGATAGCGTATCTCGTTCTGAATAACGGCTCTTGAGATGCCGAAGCCTGGCACGAAGTACGAGTTGGGCACAGCCATGATGATGGTGTTGGGATGGTCACGTCGGCAGGGTATTGCAATGTTGGCTGGACTCGATGTTCGCGGGCTGGGGATGATGGTAAGGTTGGGCGCGCTGGGGACTTATACATCTGACTCGCAGCCTTGCGACTGGGGAATCGGTTGCATACACTCTATCTACACCGGTTCCAGTCCGGATGAGGATGCGATGCATCGGCTGCGACCAAGTCCCCCGTTGGGCGTGGACGCGTCCGCCTCATTGTTCGCCTCGAAAGCCCAATCACCGCCATTGGGCAGCGACTAAGACCGGGTCTTGCAGCACCCTTTGCAATTGACCACTCACGGAATTCCCACTGCATTTTGTGGTATATCTCTTACTCTTGGAGGACTATTGCGGTTTCGTTATGCTTCGCATCTCGGCGCTAATTGCTGGAGCGGCCAACGCAGCTGCCACGTCTGCAGATGGATGGTCTCTCGCGACAACTACGGATGCTTAAAGACGATCTCTTCGCCACCAAACGCTCCAAAGGGGTTTGCGATATGTGATACTCCCACACCCTCTTGCAGTTCCAAGCCAGCGGGCTCAACCTGTTCTTCCAGATGCGATGAACTTGGCGCCAAAGGTTTCTAGCGGAGAAACCTCGACGCCGATCATACCCCGGCTCAACTTCCACGATGGGTGACACCCAGTCGCCCCACGGTAATCGCACAGCAGAAGGAACACAGTGTCGCGGTGTCTAAATTCGGCCAGCGTGGCTTCACCGCTAGATCTGTTAAGCGAAGGCGCGATCGCATCCAGGAGATCCCTTCCGCACGCGCTGCTATGGGTATGAATGCATCCAGCTACGGGGATGTTCCAGGTTTTGAATATTCCAAGAGCCGAGCCGAGACCCTATAGTATCCACCATCATGTACCTTGGTTGACGCAACAACGGTACCCGAGCCCTTGGGCTTCTTCCACAGCAGACGGACTAAGCGCCAACACCATCTGGCAACTCTATCTCACTGTGAGGCGAGCCTGGTTTACCCCGCTTGTCATTGATGATCTACTTCGACACTACCAGGAAAGGTGATAGATTACGGCATGTGGTGCCAATGGCAAGAAGAGAGCGTTCAGCAACACCTGGTGCTATCGCTTCGATTGTGAAGCTGTTCATCTGAGGTGTTCATGCGTTCTGTTCCCTTCGGCATAGATCATCTCTTGCGGCCAACAAACCTCAACGAACGCGTATCATTGCTCGAAAGTACAGGATCACCACCGGAGTTGCATCCTAACGGCGGTCTCGGCTCTTGCACACGCCGCATGAGTCGTGTACACGTGTGCGACTTCATGAACATGTGCCCAATGCCCAACGTCCGAGCGTTTAGGTTCCATCACAACAAGCATTCCATCGTCGTGGCCAACATACTGTACCTACAGCACCTTATGCACCGGACTACCCCGCAGAATCCACCATGCAGTCGCCTCGTACGCCACCTCACCTTGCATCCGGTGTCAAGGTGTCCCCGAAATTGTCGACCTACGTCATGATGTCACTGATGAGACGACACGACGCAGTGGATGTTGTGAGGCATTATGAGTTTGGAGGCAAAACCTGGTTGCGGCCATTTCGCGGGCTACGAGGAACCCCGGGCACATCGAATGCGTGATCACGCCATATTCAGTCGGCGGTTCCTACTTACCGGCCTTACTGGAAGACAGCGGAAGATGGCGCAACCCGAGGTACTCCGCAACTAACGCAAGACCAGAGAGCGTACCTACCGTGACTATACAGTAGCAATGCAGGGGATCCGAGCGGCTTGGAAGTAATGCACCTAGTGTTGACGAGAAAGCGCATTTCAGGGACGGATGATCGTAGGTAGGATCTGACAAGCAAGGTACGGCTACCGCTTCCGGCAGAGAGCAACTCTTTCAAAAACAACTGTTCGTTAAAGCGGCCGAAATCATAAGCCCGAGAAGTCGCCCCGCTGCCACTCTGCTCTATCGTACGACTGCTCTCCGATCTCGTATAGCTTTTGACATGTTTAAGGCCTTGTTCACCGGACATTGACAAGGCTCAGCCCGGTTGTGATCATTCGGGGCGACAATCTCGACAACATCGTGTCCCTAGGGTCAGCTAGCAATCCTGCAGACGTGTCCTGACAAAATTCACGACTGTCACTGGGCTGTCACTTTGCAGAGCAATGGCTCTTCGAATAGGCAACGACGACGGACGACTGGCACACTGGAGATGGGAGGGTATCAGGCAATGCGTTCTGTGACGTCTTCCATGCCTATGGAGTCTAGCACACCCTGATTGAGACCCGATAGGCGATGCGCCCAAAGGAAGATACCGTCCAAACCCCCACTCGCCACAGACTAGTAAGCTGCCTTCAGCCCTTGTCTGCCCTGTTCGAAGAGTAGAACCGGAGCATGGGTCAGCGGGACTACGTGTGAGACAATTGGCACGAATTCTGCTAACGATTACTATATGTGGCCACTCAGATACTTCCACAGGGAAATCCCTTCTACAGATGGCTGTTCTGTGTCAGTTAATCGCGTCAGCTTCATTCCATGGTCCCACGCCACCACCATCACACCGCGACCGAGCCCACAACGGCAAAATCCTGTGAACAGCACACGCTTCATCCGGTGGTTGGACACGATGGCTGTCTCGTTGACGGACAAAGATGGATGCAATAGGCACAAGGCTTCACGCTCTTAGAAGTCGAGGCGGAACGCAGCCGAACGAAGTGACGAGGAACACTATTTGCTCTTGCTTGATCGCAATCTGTACATGCGGCCTGCAACATCTTCAGCAAAGTGCCATCACAAATTCGCCACGAGCGGCATTCCGAGCACGAACCGTGGATCTCGCGTGCCACGTCAACCGTCCTTGTCAATGCGCGTTCGCCGTTGTTGATCGCGGCAAAATGCATGCAGCGCATCATATGCAGGTCTTGCTAAGACCCAGTACCTGCTCTAGTCTTACCAACTTCTTCCACAAACGCACCTTCACAAATGGTTCTGTGAAAAAGTGAGGCTTCGTAATTTCCGAAGTCGTAACCCTGTTTGCCGATCCGATTACGCCCTAAGCCGGGACGGACACCACGATGTACTCCTGCCGACTGCGCGGCGTTCGGTAACACCAGTCGACACGGCATGCGTGAATGACATGAGTGAATGAGATTTTTGGAAGCAAGGCGACCAATAGAAGTTGTGGTAGAAGCTCGTGCGCTTCAGATGCCGATCCTTTGAGTTGGCGAAGCGGCCCACTTCCTCCCTTGACTTTGCTTATTGCGGAGCCGGAGTCGTGAGCCTCACGAATGTCTTGACAGTTGGCTGGAAGCCCTCCTCTGCTCCACCCCTCGAAGGATCTGGTTTTTGTTCTGTATTGTCATCGATTCGAAGAAAGAGGACGCACATGGACGGTCTGCTTCAACTTGGATGCTGACGAGGTCCAGCTACATCTAGAATACCGAACGCCATGCGTCAACACTCGCCAATCTAGTCTTAAATCTTTACTGCATCGTCTTCGTGTCCAGGAAAGGCTCAGACGAAAGAATACGACCTATCAACGTTTGCCGCATACGGTCGCGCTCAAGCACTCGACAAACACGTTCCGATAACCCAGAGACTGGACCGCGCAATACTATCAGACTGGACCGCGCAATACTATCAGACTCCTCCTGGATACACGTACCACGATACAGATATAACGCAGGTGTCCTTAGCATGACCTTCGAGGTTACAGCTGTAACGCCCGAACGCCCCCGAACCTAGCCAGACTGCTACGACGTACTCTCCTCAAGCCCGACAACCACGCGTTGTCTATCGTATCGTCTCATACACGAAAAAACCTGAACAGGCCTGCGGACTACATCAAGACAAAATCCACCAAAGTGGTTGACTCAACGTCAAGGTAGGCTCCAGGGTGTGCAGCTTTTCCCCAGACCGGCTTGGTGTGGTTCAAAATACTCTTGGTCATGCGTAAACGACTTAAATCTGTTGGTAAATCACACAAAGAGCTAGAGCGCGTTACCAAAACCACAATGGTGATACGACTTGTTCCTAGCCGGTCGGGCTGTGCTCAATGGGGACTTTCTTCGTAATTACACATTAATAGATTGCTAGTTGAGCAAGCCCCGGGTATCATTGTACAAGTAGAAGGCTAAGAGATCCGATGCAATGCCTTCGCTACGATGGCGTTCTTTCAAAGCCTTCTCCAAGGGGAGACGAATCAAACGTACTTACCTTCTAGTAGTAGCTCCTGTTTCGACTTCTCGGGCAGCAACGGAAGAGATTCCTTCTGTCGCATGTTCGTACTCCGGTCGCTGAGTACAGAAGTGCCCGACGAGCGCGACTTGTTCGACTTGGAGGACTGCGGCGACGCGAAGTGCTGACTGGCCAGTTCATCGCGGAACACAGGCGTGCGCCGACCGATCGTCTCCGGGCTATTGGTGTCGCGCTGATGAGCCTGCGTGATGGTCTCTGCTCTGTCATCGGGCAGGGCCTCCGCCTCAGTGACCAGTGTCCCACCAACTTCTTGATCCTGCTGACCGCGCACGACTTCCGCCTCAGTGGTCAGAGTCTCATCGCGCACGACTTCCGCCTCAGTAGTCAGTGGCCCCTCGCGCACAATCTCCCCCTCAGCATCCAGCGTCCCCCCAGCCTCAACCCACTTCCTCAAATGCTCCTCCCTCAACCTCTCCCCAAACCCCGTCCACCTCACCCCAACCCTCATCGGAATCCTCCCCGCCCTCTCCAAAGCATCATACCAATCCCTATGCTCCGTCCAAACCAACCTCCTTGAGCACTTACTCGTCGTCGGCGATCTCCCTATATCAGCGACATGCTCAAACAGCATCTTCGCCATCGGCGTGTCGATATCGAGGTTATCCAGAATATTAGCCTTGATACCGCGATCGAAACACAGCCATTCTACCACGTTATCCCCCGTGCGAAATCCGAGCGCCGAGCCACCGAGCTGGAAGACATCAGCCAGGTAGCCGACTTCGAGACACCCCGGTGGGATTTCGTCACCAGCCGGAACGGGTTTCTTGCGGAACGGGTCGTCGGATCGGAGCGCGCAGACGAAGCCGTGCGTTGGCCGGTTCAGCAGCGAACGTAGTTTAGCGACTGAGATGAAGGAGGCGCGGTAGTGGTAGATGGCTACATCGTTTTTGGCAAACCGGAAGTATTGTGCTTGTTTTAGCTTGTTGCCGTTGGGTCCAGGGATGGGTTTGGGGCCGTATGTGCGTGGTTTCTTGGGCGTTATGGGTCGGGGTTGCTTGACCGGCTTGGGTTTGGATGGTCGGGGGTGCTTGTTTGGGGTGCCTTTAGGGCGGGTCATATCTTTTTCTTTTTTTCGTTTGAAAATTTGCGGTGGTCTTTGGGCGGTCAGGGAGCGCGAATAAGAGGAGAGGAGAGAGGGAAATTGATTGCTGACGAGGGTCACATGTTTTGGTCATGGAGTGTTGTAGCAATGGGGATAGTGTGCACGGGGATTTAGGCTACTGCCGCTAGAGAGGTGCTAGATTCAGGGTCTGGTTCACCGTGAAAGTGAAAAGAGAGAAGAGGAGCGCGGAGGCTAGCTGGGCGGGGGAGAAACCGCGAAGTTTTCCTTGAGCTAGCTCCCGTGATCGGGAGAGAGGTAGAGCGTGAGGTCTGAGAGCTGGGGCGGCTCTCTGTTACTGCTTATCATCCCGTAATGCAAATTGAACAAGCTGATGTCACAGTCCTTTGCTCAGCTTGGGTATGTCGCGATGATATGTCGTAATTAGGTCAAAGCGGTGTGCAGCGTGGCAGCTCAGAGGTACGTCGCGCATACAGAAGTGTCGCCATAGCTCTGACACTACGTGAAGATGTGTACTTGGTTTACACTGATGAAGTGCGCTCGTATGGGGTGATGAAAGCGTCGGAAGCGAGGATGTAAAAGTTCGTAGTCGTTGTCGAGACATTGTATTGGCCAGATATAAGCTGATATATGACAGTTCAAACTCTTGCCCGTAGTCTTCTGCGATTGTCAGGTCCACACGCCCTTTTTGCTAGCGAAAGCAGCATTGCCGCGTTTCTAAGTACCTCTTATCCGCGCGGGCCTGTGGTGATGTCTGGTGGCCGATCTTGTCAGATGTGAGATGAAGAGAGCGATTTGATAAGCAAAGCTTTACCACTGGTTGTGATAGTATATAGCGCCAGTCGAGGGAGTATCTCATTGTAGGTCTAGTGCGATAGAAACGATGATTTGGTGAGAGAATTGTGTTTCGAAATCTACTTTCCAGTTCTCCTCAGTCTATTTCTAGTGAAGGAAAAGGCAGGCGCCGCGCTAAACAAGCACTGGCCTATCTTGATTAGAAGCCCCCGATATGTATGTCTCTCACTACCCCACCCCTCACTTCTCCCCCCAGCTGTACCATCGATTGTCTTGGATTATGTGGATCTCAGGATTCCTCTGGTTGTCGATCCTCTTCGCTGCTGTTGCAGGCGAGGTCTGTCAAAAGTAGGTATGGTGACTTTATTTGAGTAGCTGTTTTGAGCGGGACTTTCTACCATGTACCGAATCTGTTTGGTTACATGTCGTTGTAGTTAACCTTGATTCTAGTTGCGCAAATGACGTTTCTCTTACCGCCAACCTTTCGCTCCCGGGTGCGCTCGATAAGATACTTGTCGCCGCTGATCCGCCTTCTCCATCGGACCCGTCGTCACCCAGGCCTCCTAACTCTGATTCTGAATCTGACTCAGAGGAGCGAGTGACTCCAGCGACCGACCAAGTCTACCAGGATTGCAGAAACAAGGGGTGCATGCTCGAGTGGGCGATGCACCACTCTGACAGCGATGTCGCCATTCACTTTGTTCCTCCCCAAGTAAAAGCACAATCACCCTTCCAGACTGCTCAAGACCTCGAGAATTGGAACTGGTATCAGTTCCCTCCGGATGAAATTAATGAAGAATATCACGACCTGGACAACGAGTATTGGGGTCTTCAGAAAGTATTCGAGGGTCTTGTGATTTCCAAGTACACGAACTTCAACGAGGAAGAGGGCCCTAATACAGTCCTCAGTATCGTGCATGAAGACCCAACTGACGAAGAGGACGTCGACGAACAAATGTACGTTGTCGACAGCGAGGGGGGTAAAGAGTATCGGTGCACAGGTGCCGATTACACTATGTCCATCAATACAAAGGACGGAGTCGTAATCGGCATGAACCGCAAAGGCCCTATGCAGGCAGGCCAGGAACGAGTTCCACCCCTGACACGAGATGATATGCCGAAACTTCACCAATTCTCCGACGTGGGTTGGATCACATGGAAAACATTCGCCGAGCAGAATGGTCATAATATCAGAGGTCTTCGATATTTCATCTCGGTCGCTATTACCAATCCACAAACCCGAGCGGTATGTCGGAAAGTATTCGTTGACAAGAACCTGGTATTGACAGGGTGGCCGGGAGAAGTTTTCGGATCCGGCACGAATGAGTTTCATGCCATTTTGGGTAAGTTGCATCTAAACCAGAAGGGCCAGAGCGTCACCGGGATTTTGTCGTGTTCATTGTAGAATGGCAAAACCACCGGAGCTCACTTGAGACCATGCAGTCTCCCAATTTCCGAACTGGAAGGGACTTCCGGCTAACTTTTGGGCAGGCACTCCCAACATGCGAGGCTATGGATACATGCTGGTTCAGCATAAAGCCGATCTGGGCAACATGTACATCAATGCAGTTCGCGTCTTCAAGTGCGAAGGCAAAGGAAGTCTTTGCATTCTCGCGTATGCATACCAGGAGGCACCGGCCGATCCAGTGGACGATCCAATGGACGAATCAATGGTCACTTCGGGTGAAGTCAGCAGACGTGATGAAGGAAGTAGCATCATGCGTCTACACAAGATCTTCGCGAAGCTGTGAGAGCTAGGGGGGACGGGTTAGAGTATATGGGAGTATAGAGGACAACTAGACCTTTGGATATTAGACAAGCGCGAATACCGGTCTTAGATGTGGATGCTGGGTCTGGGCTGCTGTGAAGGAGTGTACGGAGCTGCAGGCCTCTGCGACTTCTTTAGATTGGGGATCATGTCGTCTGCACGTCCAACCAAATAACATGGACGATTGTCACATTCAATTCCATCTCTTTTGCGGTGTCGGAGTGCTCGATCCAGTCAGGCAGCTCGATCAACGCCACGTCTTGTAGCAAAAGTAAATCTGCTCAGGCGGCCAATGACAGAAGTCGTGGGCGCGTCGAGTCGGAGCGGATCCGGCAGCCGCGACGCGCGCGTGTTGTTTTGAGGGGATCCGAATGCAGGGAAGGAACTTACATATACCACCTCATGCCCCATACTGCGTCGGTCCTGAACTTGCACCGCTCAACCGCAAACACTCGCCGCCGATCAAGTGTCATTGCAGAAGCCATGTCGTGCCATGACCACGCCAATACGTCAAGCGCGGGCTCGCGTCATATGACAGGCGTGCCCCGCGCTGTAGGATGAGAGCTCGCGCATGACAGCCCACGAAGGAGTATCTGCCGCCCGTTGGAGCAATCAATTCGCGCCTACACAATGCGCCTGTGGGGTATTAGCCGTTCCACCGAGCGACGTGCTTCTCGCTGGTCTGGGCCATGTTCAGCAGTCCAAGATTAAAGAGAGAGAATTCCTCGGCTTTCGTTACCCCGCTAGCAACTCCGTCGACTAGAGGCTGCCGCCCGTCCTATCAGCCGAGTATCTTCGCCGCATTGCGCAATCGGGACCGCGGCCGGTAGCGAAGAAACTCCCTCTGGACTCCCTTGGATTCGTCTTTCCGAGGTTATACCACACCACCCATTCGCCATGAGGCCTGCGACTACTGCGCCCGCCGCTTTCCGCGCTGCGACGTCCATCGCACGACTCCCCCACCGCCAGACGTGCTCCTTTGCGACGCGCTGCCTAGCTTCCCAGACTGCTGCGAGATCGGCCCAGTTTTCGAGCCCGCGACGAACATCCGCAAACAGCGCCCCAACACCAGCACCCAGCCTATACACTCGAATTGGACAGTATAGGATGGCGTCCTCGCAGGGAATCAAGAAGATCCAGGTCAAGAACCCTGTGGTCGAGCTCGACGGCGATGAGATGACCAGGATCATCTGGCAGGTCATCAAGGACAAGTTCATCCACCCATACCTCGACATCGACCTCAAGTACTACGACCTGGGCCTGCCCTACCGTGATGAGACCAACGACCAGGTTACGCTCGATGCCGCCGAAGCTATCAAGAAATACTCTGTTGGCGTCAAGTGCGCGACCATCACCCCCGATGAGCAGCGCGTCGAGGAGTTCAAGCTCAAGAAGATGTGGCTGTCGCCAAACGGCACCATCCGCAACCACCTGTATGGCGCACACTGGAGCAAAGGAAGACACATGGCTGACAGCATACTACAGAGGAGGAACCGTTTTCCGCGCGCCCATCGTCATCCCCACCATTCCCCGACTCGTGCCTGGCTGGAAGCAGCCCATCATCATCGGCCGCCACGCTTTCGGCGACCAGTACCGTGCGAAGGACCGCGTTATCCCCGGCGAGGGCACACTCGAGATGGTCTTTACACCCAAGGGCGGCAAGCCTGAGGTCATCAAGGTCTACGACTTCCCAGCGGAAGGCGGCGTCGCGCAAACCCAGTACAATACCACCGAGTCCATCTCCGGCTTCGCACACGCTTCCTTCAAGATGGCGCTCGACAAGAAGCTGCCGCTGTACATGAGCACCAAGAACACCATTCTCAAGGCATACGACGGCAAATTCAAGGATGTCTTCCAGGCCATCTACGACAGCCAGTACAAGAAGGAGTTCGAGGCTGCCAAGATCTGGTACGAGCACCGCCTCATTGACGACATGGTCGCCCAAATGATCAAGAGCGAGGGTGGCTACATCATCGCCATGAAGAGTGCGTGTCCATCCTACCAATATTCTGACTTCACTGACATTCCTAGACTACGACGGAGACGTCCAATCCGACATCGTCGCCCAAGGCTTCGGCTCCCTCGGCCTCATGACCTCGACCCTCATCACCCCTGACGGCAAGACCTTCGAGGCCGAAGCCGCGCACGGTACCGTCACCCGCCATTTCCGCGAACACCAAAAGGGCAACGAGACCTCCACCAACCCCATCGCCTCCATCTACGCCTGGACACAAGGTCTGGCCAAGCGTGGTGAGCTGGACAACACACCTGAGCTCGTCGTTTTCGCCGAGCAGCTCGAGAAGGCTTGCGTGGACACTGTGGATATCGACAAGATCATGACTAAGGATCTGGCCCTTGCGTGTGGAAAGAAGGACCGGGCGTCTTGGGTCACCACCAATGAATATCTTGATGCCGTCGAGAGGAGATTAAAGTCGAGCTTGAAGGAGAAGCTATAGATGTACAGCAGTGTTGAATAGTCGCGTGGGATATTCCTTGCATCGGATCACTCGGTAACAGCGTGATTCCTAGACCTGACCATGTAGACGGAGTTCTGCTTACTCTTGGGCAGGAATCGATTGTTCACAAAGTCAATTGTGCCTTTACATGTCTTCCTTTGCCAGTGAGGCGCGAGAGCGCGAGGCATCTTTTTTTGGCAGGGAGCTCGTGCCATGTCGTCTCCACATGTTCCCGGAGCACGTTGCTTTTGATGAACTGGGTTTACGCTAATTTCCGATGAGACCCAAATCCTCAAAAAGAAACCAGTCTCTTGCATGTCTCACGGCAGTATGCATATGCGGGACGATCTGATGTTTGTTTGTTACACAGCTGATTGCAAAACATTTGTCGCGACTGTCTTATTGAATTCCCAAGGCTTGCATACTTTGCATTCCGTTTAGCAGCTCTGTGTTGGGCCCTCTTGTTCTCCTCGACAGTTGCTGGCCGTCTCATCCTAGACGGGATCACATGATGGAGGCGTTCACTGATGCTGCTCCCGGGACTAACCCGACTAAAGCCGCTAGGACCTACAGTGCGAGCCCGACCACCACGCCAGCCTCTGTACCAAATGACAGCGCAGGATCTACAGCCACCATTACCACAACATTTCCGTCGCCTAAAAAGCACGGCAGTCCCTCGACTCCCGACTCTACTCCATTGCACCGACGCTTTCTGCGAGCAGTCTCGATGCCGCCTGCGACACCGTCGCGTCCGCCCATGGAGAGCCAGAAATCTTTCGAGAAGGCGCGCGACAGCCCAGTCGTAGTTCGCCATACTCCCAAGAGGACACAACCATCGCCGATGAAGCTCGAAGTTGGCCAGGGCGCGTTCTACTTCTCAATTGAGCTGCCCCCCAACAAGATCACGCCAAAGAAGAGCGGAACGACAAGCAAGAGCCAGACGCCAAAGGGGGAAGACACGCCCACGAGGACGCGGACGCCTAGCCCGTTGAAGAAGGCGAGCCCAACGAAAGAGAATGCAGTGAGTACACCCACGAGGGCGACGCGCAGCCCGCTCAAGCGTGATGAGACGACCAAGCAGAGCCCTGCGAGGCCGTTGTTTGGTACGCCGACGCGGGCGAGGATGCACAAGCAAGATATGGATCCACATACACCTGTTCGGACAACGCCCAGCCCGCGAAAGAATCACAGCGCAGTGAAGCAGAGTCCTGCCAAGGTAGCTACTGTTACTCCGAAGAGAAGTGGCTTGCTCAAGACACCTGGAAGTAATCGACCTGGAAGTCCCATCAAGCGCTCGATTGAACAAGAAGACTCACCTGTAGATCCGCTCAGGACATCTGCACGCCTAGCGAGAGAACTCCTATCAGGGCCAGAGGAGACATCCCGAATGCCACCCGAACGTCTTGTGGACCTGAAAGACGAGCACGCTCCAGCAAACTTGGTCGCGACTGCCACAGACTCAGCCCCGCACCACGAATCCACGAGGCAGGCGCCACCAGCGAACAAGTGCCCAGAAAACATCGGACACCTCATGGCAAGCCTCATCAGCAGCACTACCAGCACGCGTGACTGGGGAACTGCCTACAACAACAACATGGTCTCCCCTATACCGACGCCCTTACGCAAGGCCTCCGAGAAGCTCAAGCTGGGAGAGTCGCCTTCTTTCCTGCGGATGTCGGCCAATGGTACGACCATGATGACCAATGTAGACCCTGCTTCCGATGTCAGCAAGAGAGGGTCTTTGAATTTACACGAACCTGCGTCAATCGACCCAGGACACGATAAGGGTAACCAGATTGAGTCGTCGTCGTCTGGATCAACCGAGGCAGTTCTTCCCTCTTCCAAAACCACAGATCATACTGCGGACGTGTCAAGCGAACCGCGACCCGCACGTCCACTGCGTGCAGCCAGTCTGGGGGTTTTCAACACCCTGAATGCGACTCGCGAGGTACCAGCCCCGCCACATCGCCCACTTCTATTCCCAAAGCGGAGGTCGGAGACCCTGCAGGAAGAGCCATCACGGCAAGAACACCAGGTCAGGTGGCAAGATATGGAGACTGCTTATTTGAAGCCCCTGCCTGCGAGCCACCAGAGGCGAGTGGGGACTGATCCAAGCGTACTTTTGAAGATGCAAAAGGATATGGCCAACTTGGAAGCGACGATGCGCCGCTCGGCAGGCGTTGTCGACCCAGCGTTTTGCGGCCCGCTCAATCTGAACGAGCTACCTGCTATGTCGAACGACTACTTCGTTAGAGGCCAGCAAGATATTAGAAGCCCAGGTGTTGTTGGTACACCAAAAACCCTCAGTAGAGCCAACTCCGACAACCCATCGATTGCGACCGTACAAGCGAATGGAGTAAGAGGTACTAGCAACTCATTAGCATCGTTGAAGGTTTCCGGTACGCCAGGTATACCACGATTGAAACCTAGTGCTCCTACCTCAGCACAAGTAACGAGAGACCGTCTTCTTGCAGCTAAGAAGGAAACTCCTCAGCGTATGGGTGCGACTAAAACTGCGGTTCCCGGAAGATCCCGCCCTCGATCAAAGACCACAGTTTCAGCAACAAGCAAGTTGGGAGCGGTGACTAGCACACCTCGCAAGACCCCAGCGACTCCTGCCAAACCCGTGGCACCTCCAAGCACAACAACACTCAGCTCTCCACACAGCCGCATTCCATCAGTGAACGCCGCCAAGCCCAGGATGCGAACACAGTCTGTTCCTCAAGCTGGATCGAAGCCGCTTTCCAATGCCTCGGGTCACGGTAAGGCCGTCGCAGCATTGAAAGAGCGTCTACCAAACGTACCAACTGCTCCGGTCAACACTAGACCTGTTCCGATCCGCAAACCTGTGCTCCCCTCCACTACAGCCACTCAAGTCCCTTCGGCCGGTCCACGACCGTATGGACAAGAGTTCGCCAGCGCGGGAGACATCGCTGACCGGCTCGCTGGTTGGCACGACGAAGATCGGAAGAAAGCGCAGATCAATCGTCCTACGGTCGCAACCAAGAACACGCCAGCGAAGATACAGGCAGGAGGCCAGACGGACGATTCTACCACACCAGACGGCTCACCTGCGAGGGTCCTCACACCCGCCAAGGTACCTGCATCGGCTAGGACTTCCAAAGCCCTCCCTCCTGCCAAAGACGTCAAATCAAGACCTCTTTCGACCAAGTCCGGCGCCCCGTCAACACCCAGATCTAAGCCCAGCGCGCCAGCTCCAAAAACGCCAGTCCCGAAAACGCCAGTCCCGAAAACCCCAGCCCCGAAAACCCCAGCCCCAGCGCCCCGTAACGCTGTCGCTGCCAACAACAACCTCAGGCAACCCATTACCGCCGCCAAGACCCCAGTAAACCGCCGCATACCCGTTCTCGACCGCAACGCAACGCGCACACCGAGCAAAGCCATCGTGAGTAGTCTGGATCAAGCGATCGATAGGAAGATTGCAGAGGACGCGAGACGTGGGATAGAGTATACGCCTGGTGGGAACCGGCTGAGGGATTTGCTGGATGCGAAGTCGATGAACGGGGGTGTTGTGCAGGTTTTGGAGGAAGAGGAGGAGGTGTAAGGATTTGTAGGGTTGTGGCAAGGGCGGCGAGGACGGTTGGTGGCGATTAGAGGTGATATTTCGGTCTTCTGTTTTTTTTTTGTCAAGTTCTGGTGTTGTGTGTGGCGTTTACTACTAGGAGTTATGGGAGGAAAGGTGTTATGGATGGTGTCTTAACAAGGAAAATCATGTAGATGAGTAAACAATTGATGTACAACTAGTATGGGAAATCTACACCGACCACGCCGAGCCATATTCTAATTCCTACTTCCTGCTACCCTCCCTATAACTCTTCCCAAACACATCGCCTTCATCATCAGACTCACCCATCTCTTCATCGCTTTCTTCATCACCGCCGTCATCACCAGAGTCCGAGTCTTCGCTCCGTCCCAGCGTGTGACTAGATGTCTCACTCTCCTCCTCATCTCCGTCATCCTCCATACTCTCATCTGAATCTCCTTCGCCCTCACTATTTTCCTTCTCGTCATCTTCATCTGCTGCAAGCGTAGAGCCCGAAGATTCCGACCGACCTAAGGTGCGGCTAGACGCATCACTTCCTTCATCATCTCCAGTATCTCCAGTATCCTCGATAATCTCACTCATTGGGCCTTCCGCCAAGCTATCCCAGCTACGACCACGCCCAGAGGCTGTTGCGAACCCATCTCCTGCTGTATATTCTCGCCCATCGAATCTTCTTTCACTCTGAGCGTTTCGTCGCTTGGTAGCATGCGTTGCGCCCAGGCGAAATGCGTCGTTTTGGGTGGGCATGTCTGCGGCAGGGTTGTAGTCGTGGTACTGGTGCACAGTACAGTTGGAGCGGAAGCTAGTGGCGATGAGAGGACCGAAGGGGTTGGCGGGGGTGGCGTGGTTTGGTTTCTGTGGTGGGGTGGTGGGCATGACGGGTGATCTTGTTGTGCTGATGATATTGATAATGTGTGTGCGAGGTGGATACGTTATCATGACAAGAAGCAATTCCGGAGACTTTATATAGGCCAGGGGCTCTTCAATGAGAGACAGATTCTGGGAGCTGTTTCTTAAAAGTAGAACAGGAGCGTTCGAGGGTCTCACGTCGATGTCTTGTGTGGAGAGATTTGGGTTAAGACAGAGACATAGTTTAGATCTACGTGTTGTAGATCCCAAGGAGAGGTATCGGCTACGGTATCTCATCCTATGGAAGTACGAATCCCAATCCCAAGCGCCCTAGCAGGAGTAGTAATGGAAATCTAGATCGTGTACAGATACCTCGGGTTATCCTCACCCATCTCAGCAATCTCCTCTTCAGTCTTGCCCTCAACCCTCCAGTCCTCCTTACCAGACAGCTTCCTGTTGTTCTTCATACGGAAGTAGAAGTGTAGCGCAATGTAGATCGCGATACCGAGGGCTAGCAGCCCGATAGTAGCGCCGTAGCCCGGAATATATGTTGGCGCGGTATCGGCGGCGTACAAGAAAGGTGCCGCAACACCTGAGCAGTTACCGATGGTGATCTGCATACCGCTCGCAAAGGCTCGCTTTCCGTATCGGGGATTGTTGACAGCGATCCAGGAGAAGGCGATTCCGGTGGCTACCCATAGGCCGAGCGCGACGATGAAGCAGCCAGCGAAGCTGAGGCCGAGTCCCTATACGCATGTCAGTACATTCGTTGGGATGGTGGAATGTTGAGGGCCTACCTTGTTTGCGATGAGGAAGATGTACCCGATCATACTAACAGCGAGCCCACCTATACAGTAAAGACCTCTGTTTTGCGACTTGTCGCTGAAGTATGCGCAGATGACGTAGGTAAGGAAGCCGCAGACGTAGACGGGGATCGTCAACGCCTGAACTACTTGACGGCTCCATCCACCTCCGAGACCGTTGATGATGGTGGGTAGGAAGACGGAGAAACTGTAGAGCATGCCTAGTCCAACGAATTGTGCAATGGCGTAGGCGTAGACCTTCCAGTCTTTCACTCCCTTCATAACATCCTCGCGCGCGAGTTCTTGACCAGAAGTTGTTTGGCCGACTTCCTTCATTCGGAGCAGGACAAGGTTCCGGCGGTCTTCCTCGGTCAAAAAGCTGGCCGTCTCGGGGCTGTTGGGTAGGACGAAAGGTACGGCGATGGCGGTGATCACAGTCGGAATGCCGTTAATCAAGATGATCCAACGCCATCCATTCCAGCCTGCTACACCGTCGAGCTCACCGATTGCGTACGCTACAACACCCTGTGCTTGTTAGAGCCTTTCTTTTGTCTCGTGGAGGCGATACTTACACCTAGTCCACCTGCTAGTGCAGATGTACCATAGAAGCACGCTTGTCTCAAGCTAACGTTGCGCCGGTTGTAAAACATGCTCAGGTAAAGAATGACGCCCGGGAACAAGCCGGCTTCGAACATGCCCAGCAGGAGACGGCAGACGATGAGTCCAGCGAAGTTATTGACAAAGCAGGAGAACGTGGCTACCATGCCCCACATGAACATGAGGCCTCCGAGATATCGGGCAGGTTTCATTCGCTTCAGGATCAAGTTTGACTAGATGTCTAATTAGCATGTAAGACTAGGCTCTGATGAACGCCAAGCTTACCGGAGTTTCGAATATCTAATACACGATTAGTGGAAGTCAACAAACATTGGGTGAGAGCGACACTTACAACGTAAGTAACGAACAAGATGGATACCGCGATTTGGAACTGATTGCTATCGGGGTCCATGCCAAGATCCTCCTCCATCTTGTAGAGACGAGCATTGCCGATGTTGACTACGCGAATCTGTCAGTCTAGATCTCAAGATGAGCATACCGTACGCACCTCGATCCATGAAGTTCATCAGGTAGATCCAGCATATCATGGGCACGATCCGGATGTCCAGCTTCCTTAGCAGTTTTGCTTCAGTGACAGGATCAATGTCAATCATCGAGGCGGATTGTTCGACGTCTTCGAGTTTGAGAGGCGGGTTTGGTGATGTGTCCGAACCTTTCTCGTCCCTGTACTCCGGTTCTGTGAGCACGGGCCCATCTTTGTTTGCGTTCATGCTGTCAACAAACGAAAAAAAAATTGTGTGAGTGCGATCTCAAGTTGGAGGTGTTTCCAGCGGGGAGGTAAGTTGCTGTGATCGTCGTCAACGGCCAAAAAAGTATTGGAACCAGTCTGACCCTTATAACCCGAACACCTGGGGAAGGGTGCCCCGGCCCCATGGGGAAGCGAGATATGCCATGCGCTTGGTATACGGAGACGCACCGTTGGCATCGATCAGGCAGAAAGACCGAAGCGAGTTTGATAATCTCGTCGTCGAAGTGCCGGTAGCCGTTCTTCCGCCCTGGCGTGCTTGGAGGCTCTGGACAAGGGCGCTTCCAAGCTTCTAATACTGGGGTAATTGGTGGTTAACCAAGACCTTCACCTCCTTGGATTCTTAACCTGTTTTGGCAAGGCTGGACGTGGATCGCGTCAAGGGGACCAGATCTTCGGTACGGAGGAACGGGTATCTTCTGTTGTGCAGCCTATCATCTTGCGTAACGCAATGGTATTCGCAATCCCATGTGCCAGATGCTCGTAATACCAGGTATGCTCAACAACTTTCCCATGTAACGTGCACAGACTCGAATGCCTGTCCGGACCACAGCTTCTGCACAACTCTGAACAGCCGAACAATAAGGCAATCTGCGCTTAAATACGAGAACAATATGCACAGAGCCCGTTAATAGTACACGACCGTGAATCAACTGAAGTGCTCTTGATCACTGCCATGTTTGGTGTGTGCATGCTGCGATCCACAACAGCGCTCCTCTTAGTGCTCTGAGCAATGCCACGGATGCCACATCTGATTTGACCGGAGGACGCACTGAATCTAGTGAGGAGTACTTGGTCCGAGAGATTGCGTACAGACACTGCCTTCCTTTGCTCCGTGGGTGTTGTTGTCATGCTCGATACCAAGTCGCCAAGTCCTTAGCCTGCGTTGACGCGCTTGGCAGTTGTGTCCTATGCAAGGACGTCGAGCTTCTCCACACATCCGATGTTGCTACTGTATGCGGTAAGAAGTGGGTATGACAAAAGATGATTCTTGGTGGTGAATGAGAGCGTAATGATATATCAGCAAGTCTAAGATGTTTCAACAGAGAACGTCGCAATGTGAGGCTCTTCGACGGCTTCTTGTTATTCTTGCCCAGCCGGATAGATCGGTATGAGATGCATCGCGGCTGCGTCTCTACAAATTGATTCGAGCGGGAAGGCTGAAACATTGCAGCAGTGCTGCGCCTCGGGCGGAATGATAGATGCTTGTGCGGCGGGCTTCTGCATTCAAGAGCAAGTACGCCTGTTGTGCAGAGCGGGCAAAGGGATGTGATAGACGGCCAAGCACCGAGCCGTTGCCCAGCATGAGGAGGATCAGTAGAGATATGGCGCCGCTGACGATGATGATGAGAGATGATGGATGAACGAAGGCGGAACCGCTGGTGGATGATCGGACGAGGCAGGGGCAGCGCGTCTTGGAAGGCGCGTCGCTTAGTCATCACACCCTAAAACTCACGGCGCGAGGACACACTACGACTTGGAGATGCAGTGCTAAGATCTCAAGACTTGCACATGAGATCCAAGGCACCACTCGACCGATTTAGCCCCATGTGTCTATCCCTGCTCGCCATGTGTCCATTGCAAGAAATCCGTTTGAAAGACCGCGGTGAAGAATTGGCGTGGAAGAGGGGAAGGTTCATGTGCTATCCTCTAATGCTGCCATACAGCCACTAGTGCCCTGATGAATTCCTCTGTTACTCGGACACCTATACAGATATTTTCTTCGGTCTCCAGTCTCGGCACATGGTAGAACACAACGTCTCGTCTGCCAGTGCGTTTCTACATCACGAGTAGACTGATGTAGTAGTCAAAACCACACACGTACGAGCCCACATCATCGCTGAGCCTTACGTCGACAGCTTGTCTTAATATCTCCTTTCCTTTCGTCTTCGGAAGGCCGATGGAGGAACAAGCTTCCCTCCATATTCCAGCTGCTGCATCGATATCAACCGTCGTCGGACTATTTGACCACGCTGGGAGCGACGCATATGAAGCGCTTTTGAATATCGTAAGACAGATTTACCCGTCACGAGGTTCAACGTGCGGCTGCGAGAATTCTGTACGCGTAAAACTTAGAACGGGTAGGGCGCTGATGGTGTTGCGCGAAGTTGGTGTTGGAAGCGTAAGCGGTGGCGCGGTCGGGGATGACATGGGTTCCCCACGTCAGGCATGCAAGGTCCGGTAGCGGTGCACTTTGATTTCGAAGAACGCAGCCCTCGCAAAAAGTGTACTCCCGGTTTGACTCATACCCACAACTTCCCAGACATAATGCGCTGAGTTCGATACTCGCCCTCATCAATTGTAGTTCCTTGTAGCCTTACTTCCCGCGTTCAGCAGCTGGCGGCTCTTTGTGCAAGTCTGACTCGCACCGCCCACCATGGCAAGCAACGGCGTCAATGTCGCGCAGGGTGAGCCGACCAAGGTGACGATCCTGGGCAAAGACTCGATAGTCGTCGACTACGGCATCTGGCAGAATTACATCGCCCAGGACCTGCTTACCAACATTCCCTCGTCGACGTACGTCCTCATCACCGACACCAACATCGGCCCTCTCTACACGCCCACGTTCGAGCGCGCCTTCGCGTCGGCCGCATCTTCGCTCTCGTCCTCCCCACGCCTCCTCACTTACCAAATCGCGCCCGGCGAGACGTCCAAGTCGCGGAATACCAAGGCAGCCGTAGAAGACTGGCTGCTGTCGCAAGGATGTGTGCGCGACACAGTCATAATAGCACTGGGCGGAGGCGTCATTGGGGACATGATAGGCTATGTCGCGGCGACATACATGCGCGGCATCAAGTTCGTCAATGTGCCTACCACATTGCTGGCCATGGTCGACTCGAGCATAGGCGGCAAGACGGCCATTGACGTGCCCGCAGGCAAGAACTTGGTCGGCGCCTTCTGGCAGCCCGAGAGGATCTACATTGATTTGCAGTTCCTCGAGTCGCTGCCCAAGAGAGAGGTCGTCAACGGAATGGCAGAGGTGGTCAAGACGGCGGCAATTTGGAACGAGGAGGAATTCACAACACTCGAGGGCAATGCAGACGCCATCCTGGCTGCGATTGACCAAAAGCCCGTCAACGGCCGCAAGAACTTCGACAAGATCGCCAGCATACTGAAGCGCATAGTGCTGGGCTCAGTACGCGTCAAGGCCGAAGTCGTCTCGGCGGACGAGCGCGAAGGCGGCCTGCGCAATCTGCTCAACTTCGGACACTCGATCGGACACGCTTACGAAGCCATCCTCACACCCCAGATCCTCCACGGAGAGTGCGTCGCGATAGGAATGGTCAAGGAGGCCGAATTGGCCAGATACCTGGGTGTACTGGATCCCTCCGCAGTCGCGCGCTTGACAAAGTGCATCGCGAGCTACGGACTGCCTACATCGCTAGCGGACAAGACGGTGCGGAAGCGGTCGGCCAACAAGCATTGTCCCGTAGACGAGCTTATCAAGATCATGGCTGTGGACAAGAAGAATGCAGGCAAGACTAAGAAGATCGTGCTTTTGTCGGGCATTGGCCGGACGCACGAGAAGAAGGCTAGCTCCGTCGAAGATCGCGACATCCGAATCGCCCTCTCACCGAGCATATCTGTTCACCCCGGTATCCCCTCCGACCTGAACGTGACGTGCAGGCCTCCAGGATCCAAGAGTATCTCCAACCGAGTCCTCGTGCTTGCTGCGCTTGGAACTGGATCATGTCGCATCACCAACTTGCTGCACTCTGACGACACACAAGTCATGCTAGACGCGCTGGCGAAGATGCAGGGTGCTAGCTTCGCGTGGGAGAATGATGGCAAGGAGCTAGTCGTCACCGGCAATGGTGGAAACCTCAAGGCGTCGAGCAACGAACTCTACCTCGGAAACGCTGGCACTGCCGCGCGTTTCCTGACTTCCGTGACTGCACTGTGCCAACCCGTCGAGGGCGTGACTTCCACAGTAGTCACCGGCAACGCGCGCATGAAGGAGCGACCCATTGGCCCGCTGGTCAAGTCACTCCGCACCATGGGCGTCGAAATTGACTACCAGGAGAATGAAGGCAGCTTGCCGTTGCGAATCTCTGCATGTGGTGGCTTTGGTCCGGATTCCTTCACGGGCGAGATTGAGCTTACTGCCAACGTGTCGTCGCAATACGTATCGTCCATCCTCTTGAGCGCGCCATACTCCAAAAAGCCTGTAACACTGCGGCTGATCGGTGGCAAAGTAATCTCCCAACCATACATCGATATGACCATCGCCATGATGGCTTCCTTCGGCGTGCAGGTCGAGAGATCCCAGGATGATCCCAATACCTACCACATCCCCAACAAGCCCTACACCAACCCCTCCGAATATGAGGTGGAAAGCGATGCTAGCTCTGCTACCTACCCTCTCGCGATCGCGGCTATAACAGGTACGACGTGCACAGTGCCTAACATCGGCTCAGGCTCCCTGCAAGGTGATGCGCGATTCGCTGTTGAAGTTCTAAAACCCATGGGCTGCAAGGTTGAACAGTCCGAGACCTCTACAACAGTCACAGGCCCTCCTCGCGGCGAATTGAAAGCCGTCAAGGAGATCGACATGGAGCCCATGACGGATGCTTTCCTCACAGCATCCGTGTTGGCCGCAGTAGCATCATCGAATGGTAGCACAGCCACCACTCGCATCTATGGTATTGCAAACCAGCGTGTCAAGGAATGCAACCGCATCCAAGCCATGGAAGATGAGCTCGCCAAGTTTGGTGTCACCTGCAGACAATTTGACGATGGTATTGAAGTTGACGGAAAAGCTTACGAGCTCGAAGCTCCAAAGGTCGGTATCCACTGCTACGATGATCATCGCGTCGCCATGAGTTTCGCTGTGCTGTCATTAGTCGCTCCAGCGCCAGTCCTCATTCTTGAAAAGGAATGTACTGGAAAGACATGGCCTGGATACTGGGACTCTCTGAGCCAGATTTTCAAAACCGAGCTCTCAGGCGTGGAGCTACCGCCACGGCCAAATGCGCATAAGGCAGCGTCGAAGACTGAACAGAAGTCAATCTTCATCATCGGAATGCGCGGCGCCGGCAAGACGACCGCTGGTGGATGGGCAGCACGTGCGCTCGGACGCCCCTTCATTGATCTGGATACTGCGCTCGAGGACCATGTCGGTATGACAATACCGGAACTTATCAAGTCACAAGGATGGGACGGCTTCCGGAGCGAGGAGCTGAAGCTTCTGGCCAAAACTGTCAAGGAGAAGCCTAATGGGCACGTCTTCGCCTGTGGTGGTGGGATTGTCGAGACACCTGAAGCTCGCAAGATTCTCGTCGACTATCAGAAGAGTGGTGGTATAGTACTACTTGTCACGCGTGATATCAACAAGGTAGTCGCCTTCTTACAGATCGATAAGACACGGCCAGCGTACGTAGACGACATCATGGGCGTATGGCTACGGAGGAAGGACTGGTACACGGAGTGCAGTAACTACCGCTTCCACAGTCAGGTTCCAGGATCTGGGGGGCTCGCTCAGACGCAAGGGGAGATTGCCCGTTTCTTGAACACCATCACTGGCAAGGCCACTACGTTGAAGGGTCTCAAGAAGAGGAAGCACTCTTTCTTCGTCTGCTTATCTGCACCCCGACTTGAGCCTTGCATGAAGACTCTACCGGAGATAGTAGTCGGATCGGATGCTGTTGAGCTCAGAGTCGACTTGTTGGAAGACCCGAACGGGCAAGAAGGTCTGCCAACACCAGAGTTCGTGATCGAGCAACTGACAATACTGCGGACCGTAACATCGATACCTATCATATTCACCTTGCGAACGAAAGCACAAGGCGGGAGATTCCCAGACCAGGCATACGATGAGGCCCTCGTCCTTTACCGGACAGCATTGAGACTTGGTTGTGACTTTGTAGATCTGGAGATGACCATGCCAGAAGACATCCTGCGCGAGGTTTCCGACACTCGCGGATACTCAGAGATCATCGCTAGCCATCACGATCCCAAAGGCGAGCTCAACTGGAGAAACGGCTCGTGGATGCAGTACTACAACCGCGCGTTGCAGTACGGTACTGTCATTAAACTTGTGGGTGTCGCCAAGTCGCTCGAAGATAACTATGCGCTTGCAGAATTCAAGAGCTGGGCGAACACTGCGCACCCTGTCCCCCTGATCGCCATCAACATGGGCGAGCATGGCAAGCTTAGCAGGATACTTAATGGCTTTATGACACCCGTCTCGCACCCCCTCCTGCCCTCTGCTACCGCACCGGGTCAACTATCTGCAGGAGATATTCGGCGGGGCTTGTCGTTGATGGGCGAAATTTCGACGAAGAAGTTCTTCATCTTCGGCTCACCAGTGGCACAAAGCCCTAGCCCGCGTCTCCACAACAAGCTGTTCGGTGAGACTGGGCTCCCACACGTCTACAGCCGCCACGAGACTACGGATGCAAGCTCAATCAAGAACATCATCCGCTCGCCAGACTTCGGTGGAGCCAGTGTGACAATCCCGCTGAAGCAGGACGTCGTACCTCTCCTCGACGGTTTAGGCCCAGAAGTCGATGTCATCGGTGCCCTCAACACCATCGTTCCCGAGAGCTCCATCGATGAATCCAGTGGTGAAGAGGTCGTCCGTCTAATCGGTCGTAATACCGACTATCTAGGTATGATGCTCATCCTCCGCAACGCCGGCGCGCAAGGCAGCGGCTCTGCCCTCGTCATCGGCGGCGGCGGTACCAGTCGCGCTGCCATCTACGCACTCAAGGAGATGGGCTATGGGCCAATCTACCTCCTCGGCCGCAACCCCTCGAAGATGGAGACCCTCAAGAACGCCTTCTCAGCAGAATACAACCTACACGTCATCGGCTCCCCAGAAGAAGTCCAATCTATGGAAAGCACGCCACAGGTTGCTATCGGAACCATCCCTGCTGACCAACCCATCGACGTCGCCATCCGCGAAACGCTTTGCACGTTGTTTGAGAAGGGCAAGGCGAGCGTCAAGGACGTGGAGCCAGGTCCAGAAAGAATATTGTTGGAGATGGCGTACAAGCCCCCCGTGACAGCGTTGATTCAGCTTGCGATGGACAACGGGTGGAAGACGGTCAATGGTCTGGAGGTTTTGGTCGGACAGGGTGTGCACCAGTTTGAGTACTGGACTGGTGTCAAGCCGCTGTATGCGGTTGCTAGGGTGAGTTTTGCTGTGTGAATCATGATTAGGATGAAGCTAACGTTACGCAGGATGCTGTGATCAACCAAACGGACTAGACGGGGAAGAGGTTTCTATCGTGGGGGACTTGGGTCTTATGAACTTGGTGTAGATGAAAAGCACGATACATCATGACGTTATCTTCGATTTGCGATTTCCAAACTATGTCAATGTAAATGCAATAATGTTGCTCAGGTGAATATCGTCACGCTGAACTTACGCGTTGAGCTGGCGATAATGATGTGATGCCGCACTGGCGCACGGATGTCTTCACGTGGCGCTCTAGTCTTTTATAGTGCTAGCGTCTGACATCATCCTGCGGTCCCGTTGGCTGAACAGCAGCACCCTGTCTCTGCTTTCTGCCAGCGCGGTCATTAAGAAACACATGTCTACGAACAACGCCCGTTGTGTTATTGAACTTCAACTCATCCCGAACCCTTGAATGCCAAGTATATCCTTCGCAGGAGCCAAGAAACGCAAGACGCGTCATTCCGGTTACACCTTCACAAAAGCACGTCAAGAACCTGGAATCACGATGCTCGGGCCAGCCGAGAGCGGACTCTTGCGTCTGGTCGATGAACTCCTCCTCAACATCATCGACCATGTCGAAGGCCAGGATGCGCTTTGCAGTCTTGCAGCGACGTGCACGCGGTTTCAAGGCCTCGTTGAACCCTACATCTGGCGCAAACTGGTAGTCTTGAACGGAGGACACGCGCAAAGGATTGCCACGGCACTGGACAGCCGGGACAATCGGACAGACTATATCCAGGATCTGGCTATTCGCTACAAGGATGAACGTCGCGAGGGGATTGAGGATCTGAACCATTATCTGAGTTTGATGGGTAGGCTCCGTCATCTCCATGTCGAGAGCCCCTGCCCGAACAACTTGGAATGGCAAAACGGCATCTACTTCGACGGCTACTCGAGGATTGATTACAACAACTTGCTTGCGGCGGCAGTGTATCCACGCGCGGGCATGCCGATGACGTTACCGATGCTACAGTCGTGTAAGTCAGATGTTTCATGACAATAAGCCTGACTAACGAAACGCAGTAACGCTCCACGCGCATGGTTCGGGAGACAACAAGTTCAGATTAGGTCGCGCTGTCGCAATGTTCAAGCATCCAACTTTGCGTAATATCACACTATCTTGTTTGAACTTCGACGGAGATCTCCAAATCTCCGAATCGGAGAAGAAGACAACATGCCTTCAGTCTCTAACGCTAATCGAATGTAATGTCGGTGTTCCGTTCTTAAACAATGTCCTGAGCCTACCCAAAGCTCTTAAGGAGTTGTCAATCGGAGAGCGACTGCACGTCTTCCAGGAATGCCAACCGTCCATGGATCCTGAACAACGCACATCCTCATCTCGATTCCTAGTCGCACTGCAGAAACAAGCACATTCATTGCAGCGCTTGACACATTGCGGTGGTCACGTTGGATATCTAACCCAGCGCGATACCGATCCCGAAGGCGCAGAAAAGCTACGCTCTCTCGTCGAGCTAGAATACCTCGAGCTCGGTTTCGAATCGCACCTCTACTACTACCTACGACAAAGCGGCTTCCCGCCATCCCTCAAGTCGTTAAAGATGCTCGACTCCGCCATCTCCATCAACTCAGGCCACGACCTCCGCTCGCTGTCCGACATCGCCTTCCGCTCCCTCACCTCACTCGTAGACGTCTGTCTCCCAAGAACACTCGCAGACGACTTCATACTGCACCTCAAGTTCTCCGACCACTCTTTCTTCCGCCTCTTCGAAATCGTCGACGCGACAGAACAAGCTCACCTCCTCAGCGCTCTCTTCTTCGACCGCGCGGCTACCTACAAGATCGCCACCATGCTCAAGTCATACAGCACGAACGCCCACTTCGTTGTTTCACGAGAAATGTTCCCGTCGGGGAAGTCTTTCATCCCGCCATATATGGAGGGCGAAGAGCTGCCTGTTGAGGAATTGATGTATACCAGCGACGACTTTTGGCGCTTCAACGGCATCAACTACCGCATTATGGATGATGAGAATTGGAGGGATGAGCTTAAGAAAGGGAAGAAGCTGGTCGTTTGTAAGAGGTGTCGGAGTAGGGGGTTGGGCGTGGATGAATGTAGGAGTTTGGGTGATGGATCTGCTTGCATTCCTTGTAAGGGTACTGGGCTGGGGGTGTGCGAGTGGGAGCGAGATGAGAGTGGAGAGTTGGTCAGTGCTGGAGATGCTAAGGCGGAGTAAGTGGAAAATGTCTGGCTTGTTGACTTTGTGAAGATCTGAATTGTCGCAGGCGCTGCTTGGTGATGTAGTGGTAAGCGGTGTCCAATCAACGTTGCGTGGTCAGCAAGGTCTACGATGACATGCTATCACCGGAGTTTTGGCCCGAGAAACATCCTGTTTATTTCAACCAATCTGTTCTCTACATGGCCCGTTTTTGCGCCTTTCCACCGATTCAAGAGGGGATTCGAGTATCATCCGTCGCGTTGGTTTTGGGCGAGTTGTGAGTGGCTCCCCGGCTACATCTCGGCATTTGGGTCACCGCAGTACCACGATAAACCGGATGGAGCTAGAGTCAATGTGGCTTCGCGCGCACAATAATTGTGTGAGCTAGTAGCGAGGAAGTATTTATGACGGCTCCTCGTTCTCTCACTTCTGTAGTCCTACATCACAACGTCTTGGTATCACTTCACTCGGTATATTGAGAAACAAGACGCAAGAATCAACGTGTTAAGACAAAACTTCAAGTCTAAGAGCAATATTCAGGATCTTGAACACAAAAATCGCTGTGTCGAACGCAAGACCTAAAGTACTACGCACAAGACCTGAAGTATTAAGCGCGAGGCCAAGAGTATCAGGCCCAAGACTGAGAGTATCGAACGCGAGACTAAGATTCTCAACACCGTTCTACAAAACATGGATATGATCTCCTACACCAATGCAAACTCTGCACCTACCCTGCAAAGCATCTTACGTACCTCCGCGATGAGCGCTGAAACCCAGATGCCAATCAGCTCTCCTACGACCTCTGATGTGTGGCCGGGCTACACATGCCTGTTCTCGCAACTATCAGGAGAACTCCGAAACCGTATCTACGATTACATCCTAGAAGATGAACCAGCATCTATCATACACGTGCACTATAACCCTAATTCGGCACTGCTTTTCCGCGAACGCTATGCAAAGCACAAGTACATGGGCCTGACACAAGTCGACCGCAAAACGCGTAGAGAGTTCGCACCTCTGTACGACAGCGGACTTTACTTCCACTTCTCTCAGCTAGCCCGTTTCTACCGTTCGGGTCTCGCTGGCAAGAACGATGCATATCCCGCACTAGTCCGCCTTCTATCTAAAATCAGAAAAAGGCCTTCACCAGCGGCGACGGGCATCGACTCGTCAAACCCAGGTCTCGACGTAACACTCTTATTCCGACTAGACCCGTATAACTGCGATGTCACAGGCCGCTGGTTCCTTGACACAGAATACAAGAGCCACAGAAATGGCCTTATGACGGGCATCTTATGCCGCATGCTCGCGTGTCTACCTTCATGGTACCATCTGTTGGAGCCGGGAGCCATCACCAAGATCAGCATCTTGAAGTCTCGCTATCGGAGTGGCAAGTCGTTCATCCTCGTTACGTTAGAGCTCGACTCTGAGATCGAAATCTCGCGCGCTGCCATCGTGCATGCGCATGTTGAGCGGGCGCTGGTTGCAGAGATGGATTTCTCGATGCCCGATAGCGGACCGGCGGCGTCGCACAATTTTTGAGGGTGAAGTGTGTTTGGAGAGGCGAGAGGTGTAGGGAAAGACGCCAGTGCAAGGGGATTCGGAGATCATGAGGCGGATGACGAATTGTGGCAGAGTGAATCTGGAGACGGTTCGGGAATGGGTGACAATGAATGTGGATTCAAGTCATCGGGGAAGAGAAGAAGCTCCAAATGCTGCCTAATCACTCTTCCAAATTGGTCTGTGTGCGCCCCGAGTACCTTATAAGTACCCCTTCTAGTCTGCTTCTTACATACACTGTCTCAATCAACCACTTAAGAAGCGAGCTCAACTGGCATAACCCAACATGGATGCCGATACAACAATGAACGATGCGTCCGATGTGGGTGTGGTGTCGCGGCTTCTGGAGCTGCCCGGTGGTAAGCCAATCGTCATGTTTGCTCCGAGATCCATGTATACTGACCTACGGCGAAGAATTGCGCAACCACATATACAGCATCATTGTTGCCGGAGAAGCAGCTCATGGAGTCAAGCTGCACCGCAAGCGCCGCGGCCGCTCTCAACACTCGAAACATGCTCTGAGAGACCGTCATCCTAGTCGCCAATTCCTCGGCCTTGCTCAAACGAACCGACTATTCCGCTCCGAATTCTGGCCGCTTTACACAAAAGCCCACCGCCCTATCATTGACATCGAGGAGCTTGCCGAGTATCTTGAGGTCGTTCCGCACCCTGACGAATATATCAATAGCTCTATCATCACTACTCTGAAAGCCGTGCGCCTCCTCAAGACACCCAAAGCCGTTGAAGCCCCTGGTATCGATATCCGGCCTCTTTTCCGCATGAAGTGGAAATCGTTCCCATTCGTCGTTACCAAACGGTCCACGCATCGGTATTGCGAGGAGCACGAGATATTCCATTGGCTTGTAAACATAAGCTGCCGTAGGAGCCGGACCTATAACAAAGTGCTCAGGGATAATGGAGTCGTTGCGATCTATTTGCATAGACGCCATAACGCCGTTGGCGTGTCTCCTGCGGTGGAAGACGTTATCACAGTACGCCTGGGCGACCTCGTGAACATGAGACTTAGCGGAGACAGAGTTAGCTTCTTCCAGAGTTTCGTTGATGCTACGAGAACCCTCCTAATATTCGGTTCCTGGAGTAACGTCGTGATAGAATGTACTAGCGGTATGCAGAAGATGGTTGCGAGAAAGGGACAGACTATTCTTGTCGAGCAACTGGAAGATATCTCGGATGATGTGTGAGCAAACGCGTTACCCAGAGAGCGATTGCGATATCTGGAGGAGAAAGAGATGTGATGAGGTAGGAAGTTCATCGAGAGTGGAAGTCTCCGATGCCGTGAAGGCCGACTTCTGGTAGGCGAATGGTTGGTGGACACGTATGATAATGGTGTTGTTTGTCCACTTCAGGTGCGATTCTTACCGCTATGCCACTTGCACTGTCTACAGGGCCAGATCAGTGACAAAAGTAGTGACAAATAAGCCAGACATGATCGGTCAGGACTCTAGATCGAAAATGAAGAATAAAGTGGGGACAATAGTCGTGAGGTTGAAGGGTACATACTTTGACGGAGACCCCGTCGTCTAGTATGCTCACCATGATAACAGCAATGATCGATCACTGCCGCGTCCTGCGTATGTCTCCCTACTAAAACCAATCGCAATTAACAGGCGATCTCTCAGTATGGGCGTCCCGAGAAAACACATGTCCGCGTCAGTGATACACTCCATCAGCGGGAAGTATGGTACCGCTTCCCAAACCGTGCTCATCGGAAGGTGACGCGCGAGCACTTTTTGCGCGATACGCGATAGATGTCCAAGACGACTGTGTCGGAAGAGAGCAGCCGGCTTGTGGTAAGGTCTCGTGATGATGACGGAAAGAGCTTTGACGAGAACTTTATAGAATGGGTAAAGAAGGGCGTATTCGGTGAAGTGCACAACAATTAGTACTATATCGCGAGTGACCACGATCGACTGTTTCTCGATCATGCACTAAGGTCTTCTAGAAGGGATTGGCAGGTACGGAAGGCGGTGGAAGGGTGTTCGAGTACGAGAGCTTCGATGCTAAGGCAGCATACCCTCCGTGTGTGCGCTTTGAAGAGGAAGAAAGAAAGTCGTCGTGCGCTGCCTTGAGTAGTCGGTGATGCTCGTCATGCGTTCCTGTAGTATCGTCAACGTGCGCCGCATCGCAATTTCTCGACCACAAAGTCTGTGCGATCTGTGAATCATCTCTAGACCGTTCCTCGCATTCGGTGGTGCTGCGGTCCGACTGGGGGTTGAATCGCGATATTAACGTGAAGGAACTTTCCGAGCGAAATCATCAAGGTGTCTAGGAACGGAGGGGTGTCCTCTACGATAAGCGTTGTCCAAACTCCATTTGACAACAGGGTGCAGGATGCGAGACCCCGAGTATTTGTTCTTTCGAGAGAACAGGCGAAAGTGGCGTTTAGGAGCTAAGAAGACGTGAGTTGAACGGTGCGCGTTGGACTAGTGGCGACTTCCCGAGTTCCCGCGTGCAGTTCACTCCTCCTTCCCTGTGCCATCACTCGCCCAGGGCCAGCGGCAAATGCAAACATGAACCCAACATCACCATGCCCTTAATGCGCATTAACGCTCATTTACCGCCTTTGAAAACAGTAGTCGTCCAATCTTACATCAGGCTCGAGTTTGTGTTGCTGGTAACAGCTGCGGCCGTCAGCCTCGTGTACTGTAAGCCTCGCAGGCACAGCCTCAGCCAGCTGGCTCTTGGCTTGCACTGTTCACCTGGGCATGATATCACGACCACAACACTCTACACAGCTGCAACTACCGTGATTGCGCACCCAGGATGGTACGCCACGAGACGTCTAGAGCGTCGGTCGCACTGGTGCTCAGTGTGTCAACCGCGCGGAACCCCGCAAAAGCAACCACTAGCCGCACCTGAAGCTATCCTTCACACGCGCCACGCACGACCTTGGAATTGGCCCGACACGACGCCAGGCCCAAGCATCGGCGACCCCACGCGGGACCTCCATCAGGCTCAAGAGGCGCGGCAGATGGTTGCGATAAGCCCTGGATCGAGCTGATGGCTGCAAATGGAAGACTGCCGTGTGCATCAGCTGCAGGCTATACAGGTTAGCTTCTCACCTTGCCTTTCCATGTCGACACTGTCAGCTTTCTTTTCCTCCCTCCTCCTTGTTTTTTGGTCGGTGTGTATCTACACCCCTCCTCCCTGACCAGTTCTACCCTCGGGATATTTACATCACCTCTCCTGCGTGCTCTGGATGCGCCTCGATTATCGTGTTGCTTTACAACATGATCCTTCGTCGATCTCGTCTTCTAAACCTCAAGCGGCCTAACGGATAGCGACTCTGGCGTCAGCGGCGCAGACCGCCTTGCAACTCGACAATGCCATTACCGTTCAACCAGGAATCATGGATCTGGTATACATGCGCTGTATGCATGATCGGGGCAAGACTGTGAGTGCAGTTCCCGTGCATTATCCCATTACATCAGTCTATATTCATGATCTGGTTTCGCATTCGAGAATGCGGCTTCGCATGCGATGCAATGCGCTGGCGGGCGACCTTGGATTACTGAGCGCATCGGTGCTCTGCCCTTCTGCTGCTTGCATCAACTGCCTGCGATCTACCAATGTCTACCTGCTCATTGTAGCATGTGCATGCATTTACTGACCAGATTCGTCACGTAGGATTTCGCGAAAGATGCTCTTTCGATCCGTCAAAGGCCTACAGATCGATGACTGGACTATGGGCCTCTTCGTCACCGCCGCCTACACCGTTATGATTGTGCTTGCGAATCGGTGGCTCAAAGTCCAGTCGAACCTGGAACCGGAGAATTTCGACTTCAGCGCACTGACTGTGGAAGAACTGTCGAGACGACGGTTCGGAAGCAAGCTCGTAGTCGTTGTAGAACAGATGCACATCGCCGTGATCTGGGCCTGCAAAGCATGTCTTTTGATCATGTACCATCGCATAACACGGACGGCGCTTCAGAAAGAGAACATCGCCATCAAACTGCTCGCCGCATATACGGCACTTGGATTCGTCGTTATAGAGGTCCTCTACTTCTCAGCCTGGTGTCGACCCTTTTCTGCATACTACGCAGTGCCGACTACTTCTTTCCAGTGCAACGCCTTGGTACACCACCGGATCACCAAAGCTGTCTTCAACATATCATCGGATTTGATCATGCTATGTATTGCATTGCAGATGCTCATCCGATCCTTGCTACCCATGAAGAGAAAGCTTATATTATGTGGCATCTTCTCTCTCGGTATCTTTGTCGTGGCTGCGAGCATCATGAACAGCTACTACTCCTTCAGCAATCCTTACAAATCCACGTGGATCTACTGGTACGTCCGAGAATCCTCGACGGCCATTCTTGTCGCCAACTTGCCATTTACATGGACAATACTGAGGGAACTGTTCGACATGGGTAACTTCGATGACACGAACCCTCCTCCATGGACCTATCACTCTGCTCGTACGGCTGGAGGTCGCAAGACGGCACAACTTCTTCACCATCAGTCCGCGACAACGGCCGCACGTACAGGAGTCAGACGATCTCCGGGCAACAGTAACGGAAGTAAGATGACGCAGAGTATGACCATGGTCGCTTCAAACATCACAAAAGACCAAACCAAATCGCCTGCTATTAGCGACAGGTCTGATTTTGCAAAGGAGGATCTACTCCAAGAAGCCATCCAGTCCCATGACTTCGCGCCCGCAGTACTTCGTACCAGTAGAGACGGTATTGTCGACATCGACCTGGAAACTGGGCTTGTTGAGGAAGTCAATGCGCGACCAGTCTCTCCAGATCACGCGCAGCAACGCAACAAGCTCGTCTCGGCCCCACCTACGATTACCGAAGATGGTACTGGGGGCTTCTACGTCAACGACCACCCTATCTCACCACCTTCGCGCGCGCATCTCGTCCTTTCGATGAGCGGAACGCGGGATAGCAGCATGTCGAGCGCGCACAGGAGACCTTACAGTCCGACATCGAGCCTTGTCAGCGGTGCTA